AGTGCAACGTGCTGATGACAAAAATGCTGATCACCTATTTTTTTTTTTTTTTAAGCAATCTATCCTTTTTCAGCCTGGCAATTTGATAAGATGTGTTCTTCAGAACGAAAAAACCCACAACTCTTTGTGCCCGAGATGAAGCAGTGATGTTGGGATTCATTTCACTTAGTTTTATGCATCTGCAAGTAGGGGTTACTCTGCCTGAAGGAGGTTCCTTTTATTGGAAATTAAGGCAGGGAGGCACCTCAGGATGGAGACTGAATCCAGTTTAAGAGAGGTGACTGAAACTGGCAAGATGAAATCGCTTTCTTAACTGCTGATTACTTAAATGCTTTACTACTAAATTTCTTGCTGAAGTTCTGCAATCTACTTGTGCAAATTATGCTGGACCAAATTTACTCTTGCCCCTATTTAGGCATCAGCAACTTAATATTCACCTGCAGGGACAAAACCGAAAGCAGCACAACACAGACAGGTAAATTTGAGGCATTGGAAGAATCCTGTGTAAGCAGGAACCCACCTGTCGATCCATTGAACTTTGGTTCCTGGGTGACGGTTCGGTAGACTACATATGCTGATCTTTGAGGTTCTGAAGAATTGAAATAAGTCTTTCTTCCAGTGTCTCTCACGTAAGGCATGGAAGGAGCAGTTTCATCATCCTTACTTTGACCCCTGTGTTGGTAACTTGGTTTTACTTTGGGCTCTGAAGTGTGAATTCCTAAAAGTGAAAAATTGAACAAAAATGTTGTGCTGTTACTCCAAATTTGTCCTACTGCAGGAGACTGGAGGCTGGAAGACGAGATTAAAAAAACCGTTCTTTGTGGATAGCCCCATCAAAATACATTCAGTCATTTTATTTACCACACGATGGTCAGCAATGAGTGGCCTATACTAAAGTATATTACCTCCATTTTCAAAGGATGTACGATCTGTTCTGGGCATACTCTCTATTGGTGCTCTCCTTCCTGAACTCGCTCCTTCTCTTTTTGTATTACGAAATTTTGTAGGAATTGTGTTACCGTCACCTGGAAAGGCAACAGAAAGAATGTTTTAGCTGCTTGCGTGTAAGCACAGGGAGTGGCACGGCCGTTCTCTGCCTCCCACCTCTAGGAGCTAGTGATTAGTTTAGTGGAATTCCCTTTAACCTCTCTTTTTATAATCTTCTTTCTCTTTGGTTTGTTATTTGGGTCCTGTCTAGTGTAACTCAAGCAACTCGAGCACCTGATGTATGACTCTCATGCTCTCTTAAGAAAATACCATAATACACAGGTTGAAGATGACTATGGCTCCAAAGTGAAGAACCAGCTAGAAATTACCTGCTCGTTCTTTAGCTTCTCCTTTTCATGAATGATATTTATGAATCCCATCTGACCGAACTTATGGTATTTTCAAGATGCACATCATCCTAGTACCTAAAGCCTTGGGGAACTCAGTTGAAGAAATGCCTTGGGGAAACATCTCTATCCTTCTCTCTGAATGGATCTGTCTGTATTTTCAGACTGTCTCAGGCGCAGCTGTGAACACAACCCCCTCATCCGCTACTCTCCTGTAAGGGCTGACTGCCTGCCCAGATACAGTTCTCTGCACTGCCTAGGTGGTGAGTGGACCTCTGGAACATCTCGGGTTAATCCCATGGAGACCAATGCCCTCCGGCTGAACCATGAATGGCTTCTTCTGTCTGGAGCATCTAGGTACATTCTGGACGTGGGCAGTTCGTGAACAGAACAAAACACTACCCATGAGGAGGCTAAAATTGTAATAGCATTGGTTGCGTAGGCAAGCCCACTTCCAACTACAAACAGAACTTTACAGGGAAGGCTGCAGCATAAAGTAGCCCCAGCGCTCTCCAGCTGGCCCCTGCGACTCCGCAGGAAGAGGCGGCTTTGCCTGTTCTTCCTTTGCTCCTGCGCTTTTGGTCAATAAGCTCTTTTGGTTCCTCTCAGATCAGGCCAGAATGCAGCAGAAACTCTGTACTTCTGCTTCAGTTTAGGGGGTAGTTTAAAGCCAAAAGCATCATAAATCCATCCCAATCAAAACTCCAGGGAAATCCTAGTTGTAGAAAAATACCATGCAAAGCAAGCTCATTCTTTCGCCCACTGCTGGGAGGAAAAAAGTTGAACGCTTCTTGAGAGGAAACTGAAATGCTACTGCAAAACTGTTTCTACCACTTTCCGTATCGAGAGAAAAA